TGACCATTGTCATGTTCATCCGGTAGGAAAATTATCTAGTAAACACTTACCGGGTAAGCGTTTAGTAAACAACCCCTTAGTCATGTTATATACTGTCAAATCCTATCTCATCTAGTATTTCTATCAAAGACTCCCATAATGGTAGTTTTTAATCTAATTTAAACTTGCAGTATCCATATTTTATGATGTAAAAAATTTCACATTTTCTTATATACGCATGCATATACATACGAGAAAGAATATTAATAACTTGAGTATAAACTCCATCAAAACAATAATTTCAACTCATATTTTAGATAGCCAAATTGTTGACAAAACCATTGACCATTTTGGCATTTTGATAGTGACCATTAGCCACTAGTGTGACTAGCCAAAGACACAGATCATAAATTCATATACACAGTAGCCAATACATATAAAAGTAACTTAAGAGATATGTTTGGTAAACCGACTTAAGAAGGCAAAAAAAATGATGTTCCGGAAGCCAGTGGATTTCTTAATGTTATTGACTTATTTTTCTAGCAGTTGTAAGCAAGTGATCGTCTTGGGATTAGTCAGCTCGCATAGCAGGTTGGATATCCAGTTTAATAGAAAAAAAACTGCCCAGACACAGTAGCAAAACACACACCATTTTCTTTTTATTAGATTCAACAACTGAAGTTTGAAATTCAAGGTCTTTCAAATCCACAAACAAAAATACAAAGAATTTAAACAAAAGCTTACCTTCCGGACAAGAATCTCGATTTCAATTTCTCGATTTCTTGTAGTAAAGAGCAATTGAACATGAAATTAGTTGTTAAAATCACAATATCAAACCAGAAATTTAGAACCAATAAGTGAGATTTGAGAATTTAGATGTTAGAGATTGGAGAAAACTTGCGTCAATCCGTCAATATCGAATCGAATTCGTTAGATATAAAGAACCATAAGTTAAAGATTACCATTGCAAGAAAATCCATGGGATTTTCCATCATGATTGAAAACTGTTGCTAGAAATTGGAAGGTCGGCATCAGCTTGAACAGATTTATCGGACACGTGCGATGCGAAGTAGAAGGAAGGAAGACAAAATATTTTCTTGGTATCTCCATTGTCACGTCTTCAATCCGATTGGTTAGAACTAATACGATATGATGACAATGCTGCAGTTGTGATTGATCAAGAAGGAAATTCATCGGTCACCCAGGAGTATTTAGCCTTGCAAGCTTCAATTAAGTTTGGGGTTGGGCTCAAAGGCTTTTGGCCTTACAATGATTGGGCCTAATTTTATAACATTAAACATTTTATAGCACATAATACATAACTATTTCTTTGAGGGCCCCTATTTTTCATGGGCCCTGGGCACAAGCACAACTCGTCCTTCATCAAGAACGGGCCTGTTTAAACTTTAAATAGATATGCGGTTTTAAAATATATCATGTATACATGTTCATTTACAAAAAGATTAAAAAAAACTATATCTATTAATTTATTATAGAATCAGGTTACAAGCGCTCTAAAACATGTTTCAAACCATCCACTTTTGATATGAATGTCATTTGAATTTTTTTAAATATGATTTGAGCAAACAAAACTTTCAGTAATAATTGTATATCAAAATAAGCGATGAATGTGAATCGTGAAATAAGTCTGATTCATAATGAGCTAAATGGGCTGGCTCTCGTCGTCAAATAAGGTTAAGATTTATGCATTTTCCTTGTTAGTATCTGAACAAAAAGTTGATTACTGACATTCTCAACTTACATCATTCGAAAGTCATCTCTAAAGACACCAACTTGATGAAATATTTTTAGCCCATTCAACGGTTGAGGCTAATGGGGGTCTGGGATTGAACCCAATACATGTCTTGTATTTTATAAATAATTAATACATTAAATATAATTTAAAAACTATTATTATTTTAATAAAATTTTCCGCTAAAAAAAACCAGATGATAAATCTATACATTTATAACTAAGTTAATATACAACGCCATGATTTATTTTATTTAAAATTTGTTGTCCCGCATCTAGGTTTTTAGTGATTTTGATATTTTAGACCAATAAATATTTATTTCTTTATGATAAAACCTAGACCGGTACAATAAATAATGCAACCATTCAAAAAACTATTTTATTGGACACTATTTTAATATAATGATTGTTCGTACAACCCCATTATAAAATGATTGATAATTGAATTTTGATCAATTAAACAAAACAATAAAATAACAAAAATGTCTCTCATTTAACAGAATATTATATCGCCGTTAGAGACAGAGACCAACTCCGAACGTTTTTACAAACTACTATGACCATCTTGTAATTTCAAACTACAAAAACGAAAAATATCACTTTTGGGGTAAGTTAAATGCACCCCCATAAATTTAAAAAATATACAATAATACCCAATTTTCAATACAGTACATGACACGATTAGGATATAATATTCTTGAATTGTAACAACTAGTTACGATTTATTTGTTTGTTTGTAATTAGAGATTTGTTTCATCTTTTAGGCATCGGGGACAAAAAGAATATATATTTGTGGGACTTGTGCATCATTCCTTGAATCAACTCCTATTTTTTTCATAAATTAATTGTAAATAAATAATACGTGGCACATTTTATATTTTTTAAAATGGGTTTTGTTTTTATTAACCAATCTGAAATATATTCGTTAAATAAAAACAATCTGAAACAATGACATTTCATCGACACTGCGAATTAGTAACTGAATATTATCAAAGTTCAATCACTTCAGTTAAATAGAAACAAGACTCCTTATCTCCTCATATTATTGTCGATGTATTATTGTTAATTCATTAATTGGTGCACGATGGTTGGATTATTTTTAAGTGTTTTATATAATCATGAAAAAAATCTTGGCTGATTGGATAAAGATGAGTCGGGATGATTGAGTGAATTAAGTCACGGCTTGTTATTAAGTTGTAATCAAACAACTATGCATTGTTTAACGATTAAGTTATTGAACTTATAGAATTAAAATCAAACATTTGACTAAACAATTATTTCGATTTTCTAAAATTATTGAATAAAAAGATTATATCCATTATTAGGGGTGTAGAGTTAAACTTTTAATAAGCCACTCAACGTTTATTTCAAGCTCGATTCGATCTTAAACATAAACTATAACTCGTTAAACTTAATGAACCGAACGTCATAACACCAATGTTCGACTCAGATCGTTTGAAAAGTCGATTAAAGTTTTTGAGTCGAGACGAGTCATTCGAGCGTACACTTTTTTTTAGCCAAAATGCTCTTATGTGCATAAATCATATAATAAAAGTATATAAATTAACAACCTCGAGTCAATAAACAATCAAGTTAATCGATCACAAGTTCAAGCCTATAAACGAACACTGAGCTCGAACTCGATAAATCAAAAAATATCCGAGCTCGATTCGAGCCCTACATTGAAGAAGTTAGGGGTTGTTTTTTTCAGTTGCTGAATAGTTTGGTGCAGAATGATTAAGAGACTTTCATGATATAGTGCAAAATGAAATATAATTATTTGGTAATTGTTTACAATGAAATCAGGACATTTAATGGTTAAGGGAGACTTATGATACAAAATCATTCAGAGACTTTTAGAACCATTAAGAAACAAACTTTTTTTTTGTCAAACAAGATTCACTTCTTAATGATTCAGATAATATCTTTTAATAAAACTATTAAGAGGTAAACAAACAACTCTTTATTCAAATTCAAACTCAAACTCAAACTCAAACATTATATTATCTTTTCCAATCGAACTCAAATAACCTACTTACTTGATTCATTTACACCACCACTCATTATAGCATTTGAATCTTATTTTACGTTTTATCATCCATGCGTTATAAAATCCAGCGATGGACATGTGCAGCCGTGTGTACACAATCTCTCACACATACACACACACATTTATTTATATATATATATATATATATATATATATATATAAAATAATAATAATAATTTAAATAATAAATTATTCGATGACAGGAATATGGAACTTGTGGTTTTCTGACTTTGAGATATATGAGGTTCATCATGTGCCTCATCATGAGATGAGAGTTGAATTGTTTCAAAAGTAAAGCCTCCCCAATTAAAATATAAAACTAATAATTCACAGAAATAATAATTATGTTAGTGTTTTTTGGAGACCGGTTCCATATGGGACCAATTACAATTGTTAATAATCAATTTTCCGTCCAAATACAAAAAATTGTGTATGATTTCTTAAAATACGTTTTTATAATGACGATAAAAAAAAACCTCATAAACCTATCTAACACGGTAGACGGTGACCGTGAGTACATGACGTGAAAGACTAAAAAGACAACTTTTGAAACCCAATTTAACTTATTTGGGAATATCTTTTCAATTTGATTAGATTATCTTCTTTTCATGTGGCATTATTTTAGTGAACAAGAAGAATCGTTTTAAGATTATTAGTTCATCTTCTATAATTTTTAATGCTAAACCCAAACTTTACTCCTAATAAATCATAACGAGCTTATATATGTCAACTATAAGACTTTAGTCGTATCAATCCTTACCTTACGTCACGTGTCTATACTGAGCTTGTTTGCTTTTACGCTTATGACAACTATTATTCTATTGCATCCGCAACATGGGATAGCCATGGTTGTGCGACGTTGGCATATAAGGGTATCCTGATTCTCTATCATGACAGTGAGGTTGTATAGTTACATTTACAACCGTAGGGTTTATCTGGTCTTAAACTCTTTATTGATAAAGTTACTTTGTTTTTTATCGGTAGTGAGTGTTTAAAGCTTATCATGACACTAGGCATAAGTGACCATCGGCCATGACTATGGTTCCGACCATATGGCTAACCCTCATGGGGCTAACCATGGCACCGGTGAACCCTGCTGGGGCTGACCATGACACTGGTGTGGATAAAGAAGGTTATAGAAATGAAAAATAACAAAACATAGAGGGTTAATGATGAATAAAAATCATATATTTGTGACAGTATACTTTACCAAACATCTAATCAAACTCCCATACTGTTCTTACTTTTTGACCTTTTGGGTTCCTTCACAAACCATCTTCCTACAAATTTTCCATGAAAATGACCTCCACACTTTGTCTATATCCAAAGTGCAACAAGTTATGATGAGGCCCCACTAACTTCCAAAAATGACTCACTCCCCCCTATACTTCCCTCCATGTTGTCATTATTGTGTGGTTGCGTCACATCCTAAAAATCAACAAATCAAGTAAATACACTCTGTAGAGTTGGAATAAAAACAAAATTTGTAAGACCCACATGGGTCACAATTCTCTGGGTCGGGTCGGGTCAAGCCAGCTCCAACCCATGATCACCATGGAAGCTGTGTTCTGATGAGGAAGAGGTGGAGAGGGTTATGATCATCTCATTCATATCAGACACACTATCTTGCAAATTCAATAGCAAATCTGATGTGCTAAAGCTTAATGAGGGTTTAACCCTTGGAACCACAGGCACCACAGCCTCACCCACAAGCATCTGAACCACATTCCGCATTGTGGGCCGAACCGCTGGGTCCGGGTGCGAACATACCAACCCAACTAACAACACCTTCCTCATCTCCGCGTCCTCAAACTCCCCGCACAACCGTGGATCGGCCACGTCCAACAACCGCCCTTCCCGGTGCAAACCCCATGCCCAATCTACCAAACTGCTTTTCTGTCCATTAATCCCCACCCCAGTCGCCTCCTTCTCGATAGGCCGACGGCCACTAGCCACCTCTAGCACCACCGCACCAAAGCTATAAACATCCGTCTTTTCACTTGCCCGGCCGGTTAATAGATACTCCGGCGCCAAGTACCCCATTGTCCCGGCGGCCACAGTGGGGTCCGGCGACTTATTTTGCTCAATTTCTCGGGCCAAACCAAAATCGCCCAATTTAGCATTGAATGCTTCATCCAACATAATGTTACTAGCTTTGACATCTCTATGAATCACTTGGTTCTCACATTCTTGATGCAAATAAGCTAAAGCTGAGGCCACTCCCATCAAAATCTTTCTTCTATGAGCCCATGGTAATGTGAACCTTGATTCGAAAAGTGCTTTATCAAGTGACCCATTTGGCATTAAGTCGTAAACAAGCATAATCTCACCTTTTTCATGACACCAACCTTGTAATCTCAGAAGATTCCGATGCCTAAGTGTTCCAATGATAGATAACTCCGATAAAAACTCGGCTTTTCCTTGATCATCACTGTGACTACACCTCTTCACAGCCACAACATCCCCTGAGTCTGACAATATCCCTTTATAAACGGTCCCAAATGCTCCATTCCCGATCACCCGGGTCGGGTCAAAGCAATTTGTTGCTAACCTAAGCTCTTTGTATGAGAATTCTTTAGGGGTTTTGAAGATATCAGTAGCAAAAAGCTCTGGTTTTTTGGATTTTTTGAATTTCTTGGAGTAAACCCATATAAGCAAGATTGCACATAATGCTAAGAAGAATGCACCTGCTGTCACCACACCCGCCACGGCCCCTGCACCTTGCTTGCATAATTGGTTATGGCATTTGCTCTGTTTTTGTGTTGTATGGGCCGTTGGATTGGTTGAGTTTGATTCTGTTGGCGACGTGGACGGCTGTGATGAGTTCACCGTGTTAGCGGTGGGATTCATGAAGGTGGTGGTTGGTGGTGGTGAGTTTGGACCGGGTTTTGTATCTGGGTCATCAAAAGATGAGCTGAAACTCCACCATTCAAGTGAGTGAACTTCAGTACTTCCCTGAGTTGACCCGGAAAACCCGACAAACATAAAGTCGTCCACGTATTGATTGAGATTCATGGTGATTGATAAGATGGGTGACTTGGGTTTTGTGTTGCTGTATGAGATAGAGATGTTGAGTTGCTGAGTTGAACCGGCATAATCGATCCACGAGTTGACCACATCGCCACTTCGTAAATTAACGTTGACGGAGTCCAAATCGGCAACTTGAGAAGAAACCATAGAACCCAGATCCAAACCCACATGGTTCCCATTAATATCTTTGAATTCGAAGTCCATTAGAGTATCAAATTCAACAGCAACGGCACCGGTGGGAATACCCAGATATCCACCAGCATCTCCAACCGCTTCATCGTTGGGCGATATGATAAAAGCCATTCCACCTCCAATCGAATCCGGGTTTAAATTAGCAATCGAAAACGAAAAGTATGTATTGAAACTCGCCGGAGTTGGGTTCCCAGGTTGCCGGAATCTGATGGGTTTGTTGTATAAAACCCTGCCGGCGCCGGAGTTGGGGACAAGGAGATCCCGAGTGAGTCTGACACTGTTGTTGAACAAATGGGCATCGCCCAAGAACTTCAAGTTGCTGAGGGCAAGTGTTTGGAAATCAAAGGAGGTGGTTCCGGTGACCACATTGCCGGAAAAACAGAGGAACAGCAGGCAGCATAACAGAGAAAAAAGGGTGTTTTTGCCGGAAATTGAAGAAGGCATGATTTTGTGTGCTAGATCAGAGGAATAGCCATGGAGAAATGTTGGTGTGGAATAGATTAGACAGCGATGAATTGAATCAATCACGAGAGAACAGCAAAAGATTGTGGAGATGAGAGAGAGAGAGAGAGAAAGAAACATTTGCATGGAAAAGAACAACGAATAGTTGAGGCGTGACTGATGAAGAGATGGAATCCAAAGGAGACAAGTGGGTGGTTTGGAGGACACGTGTCAACCTAACGTGATTTTACGATGTAAAGGAAACTTTCCTTCTACATTTTTACCTTTAACTTCAAGCCTCATCTCCATAACGTTATTCCATTTACAGTAAATTAAAAAAAATAAATAAATATAATGTCATTTATATTTTTTTTTAATGTCAGAAACAGATTAAATCATATATTAAAATGTATAAGATAAAATGAGCATTGATGATAATATATAAAAGGAAATTAGTAGATAAATATGAATTTAGCAATGTAATTGGTGCATTTAGCCCATTCCTTTTATATTTGTAGTAAATATAATTTAAATGTGCAATTATTATGATCAGATGAGCAATTGTCAATTTCAGTTAGTTTTGACCTAATTGTAACTAAAACCTTATTAGATGGATCGTATTTATTGTGTCATTGATTTTACACTGATCATCAAAATTAAGTTAACAACTAAAATTACTTTTTTTAAGTAGATCCGTTCATTCCTAAAACAAAAGCAAATCAAATTAGATCCAACAAAAAGTTAAATTTGTGTCATAAGTTTGATAAGGGTTGAGTTCTGATGAGAAAGAGAGTTAATATGAGAAGCGTTGGAAATGATCTCCATCCTTGGATGCATATTAGAATGAGATGCACTAGATCAATTCCTGTATCAAGTGCGATTCATGGTTGAGTTTGAGATTAACAATAATTAAGATTTAGATTTTTTCTTATGCTTCTCACCTAAACTCTCATTCTCACATGATCCTTCGTCAGTTTGATAAAATGATTGAATCAGTTTGCTTTATATTATAAGTCAAAACAAGTAATTAATCAAATAAGCACATAATATGAACTTTTTTTTATATAATTGATCAAAATGATTTGCTTGTTATTTTCATTATATATATATATATATATATATATATATATATATATATAAATAGATGGTTATAACCTGTACACCTTCTTGATCTCATCCTCTGAAGATGATGACAAGGGAAAGAAGTCCAATCGTAGAACTTAATGATGTGAATGAAGACAGAGAGGATTAAATTAGTGGATAGTTGACACACAAGTCTGATTATGATTAAATTTGACATCTCAACCTGTTCTCTTTAAACAAACATTCTCGAGTTGAGGCAGACTAGTCATGTGCTACAATTCGACCAAAATGGAAGTAGATGCCAAGAAATTGTCTTAAATCGGCCAAGTTGGGAGAGTTTTCCCAACAAGACTGAACTCTCATAAGTCGCAATTAGATTTGAAGTGTTGTCTCATATTGTTTGTGCTACATAATAGAATCATTATTTATACAAAAATATATCCGTTTAACCTCATACACGTCACTACTATACTTCATTGATTTTAAATTTGTAAGTATTACTTCCAGTGTTACTTTATCTTTTTAGTTGTGTACTCATACAATACAACGTGATATAAAATTTTATCGTAAACCGAAAATAAAAGAAATCATTACAACTCATCTTTAGTATATACATATATGTATTAAAGAATACCATGTTGTAGTCATAAAAAGAATTGTGTGTATACTATAAAAATAAAACCACGTGTGTATATTGATAAAAAAAAAACAATACCATGTTTTTTTTTTTTTTTTGTAAGGGTGTCCGGGCCAAAGCCCGACTAATCCCCGGCAAATTTGGAGACTAAACATGGTCTCACTTAAATGTCGCCAACACTCCTCTCGCAAGGCTCGAACTTGGATTCATGACTATGCCATATTTATATTATTAGAATTTCATTTTTTATTTTGGTTTAAAATTTATGAATCCGTCAACTTTAATCGGACAACTATAAATCTAACGGCACCGTCAGTTACATAAAGTCAAATCTAAGTTTGACCTTTGTCGACATATTAAATTCCAAACTAAATAATTATAATTAAGCTATTTTTCTTGCAGAAGTCCTTTCAGCCAATCCATTTTCCAACGGATTTTAGTCGGTGTTGATATTTCTGAAATTTTATTATTATTTTTATTAGAATTATGGATTGGATTTATTTCGTTTAAAATATTTGTCTCATTTAAAATAAAAGGAAATCGGAGAATAATTGTGGGTCAAAGATTTTTAGTTATTTGTCAAAACGAAAAATATAGATTTATTTCACTGAAACTTTAGTTTTAGAGGATTTTTATTAAACATATTGGTTCGAATCTTGTAAGTGGGAATATATACGAGTCGAGTTGAGTATTAGGTTAATCGAGTCGGGCTCAAAAAACGATCATATATTTGAACTCGACTCGAGCTTGATTAACTTTTTCAATGTAGGGCTCGAGCTTGAATATTTTTTTTGGGTTCAATTTGCAGTCGGTTAACTCGTTTATTGGCTTGAAAAAAGGTATGCACGAATGATTAAAAATATATTGTATGATTAATAAATATATGAGCATGTTTGGCTCGAAAAAGGGTATGCACGAATGGCTTGGCTCGACTCTACTCAACTCGGAAAACAGAATCGAGTTTCGAACGATTCGAGTCAAACATTAGTGTTATAAAGTTCGGGTCATTAAGTTAAACGAGTTCTATTTTGTATTCGAGATCGACTTGAGTTCGAAAATTATTAAGTTGGAGCCTGGAGCTTGAGCTTGAGTAGCTTCTTAAAAGCTTGAATCATTTACACCCCTACCTGCAAGGCCATTGGCGATTTTCCTGGATGTTCTCCATCGCCCCTAAGATTAGTCGAGTTACGCATAAGTTGGCTGAACACCGACGATTAACAAAAAGAAGTTGGCTTTTTTTTTTTATGAGTGATTCATAAATAACATACACCTTAATTGATAAATATTTTACAAGCATGTTTAAGCCATCGAATAATTTATAATGTTACAGGATTATTCTTTTATGCTGGTGACATAACCTTAGATATGTCACCTGTAAAGCAACAAAACTCAAGAAATTACACATTTTCGGGCAAGTTTTAATTATGGTTCACAAAACGACAATCTCTTCGTACCTCGCCTTCCTCTTCGCTTACAGGATTGTTCTCAGACAAAGTGAGAAGAGCTTTAGAAAATTGATCATGAAAATAACTGTTATCGGCTGCCATCTTCTCGACAAATGGAGATGTGGCCGGGTTTGAAACAAGTTGTTGATCAACTACAAGGAGTCCCTTATTATTCATGATGTTCCTGTAGTACATGTTATCTAAGATCATTGGCGTTTGTAGGTCATTCCTTGCATATTCCACTGCATTCGGGTCCGGTTGTTGATGGGGACAACGACGCTTGAGATACTCGGCGTAACTCGGGTCTAAAGTTGGATCAACTGTTGGATAGAGTCTGTCGACAATGTTGAGACAATGGACCCTACCTACTGAGTGAGCACCTGCATGGATTATAAGTTTTCAATAGTTATGTAAATGGTATTTTAAAACATTTTCAACTATTTTTTATGATTTTAAAGTTATATTCCAAATTTTTGTCCTTTCTTTAGGTTGATTCATATTTGAACATATAAATAAAATGTAGACAGATAAAAAACAATAATCTTACCTAAGAGAGCAACTGTTCCTTCAACATCAATCCCTACAGATTGAAAGCGTGAAAGGACAAACAACGTGGTATCGTTATGGTTAGGGATGAAGGAATCAATTTCCGCAGCGTGACTTCCCTTGCTATCTTTTCGTCCAGTTTTCATGTCGATACGAGGTCCTCCTAACTACATAACAAAACCAAATCAACACATAAACAGTTGCATATGTAACCTTCTTAAGAGAACCCATATAAAAAAGAACAGGTTCCTACACATAAACTATGTATTTAGAAAGAAATTAAAGATGCAGCATAGTGACATACCATGACGACACCGTCTCTAGCAGCAAGAGCAATAATATCAGCACACGAAACAGTCATAGGGCATGAAGCCTCGAGAGCATCTTTAATTTTGTTGATGTACTTGAAGTTTCTCATTCCCACATTTCTTGATGATGTCTTTTCTGATTGTATCCCATGGATGGTCTCCAATAATATCGATGCATCACATGACTATTCATTTGAAAAAAAAGGAAAATTTCAAATGTTTCTTGCATTGGTGACTTGTAACTTATGCATCATATGTGGTACATTGTTTCTAGCCATGCAACACAAATGGCAAGCAAATTCTCAACTTCAAAACATTGATGGTAATGAAATTTGGGAATCATATATAAAATCATGCATAAAAAGGTTGTACCTTAACCATGCAATCATGAAAGAGAGTTCTTATCCAAGAAACAGCTGTATTTCCATGTTCATTGTACAAACTTATAACTTGTTGTTTCACAATTTCTTCAGCATTTGGACAACTTTGCGAGTAGTAATTCAATCGAATTTCACCATTACCTTCAAAAAACAGTATACGTCATAAACCATACTTATAAGTACTAACTGTGGATTATATAAACTGCTACGGTTTCAGAAAAGACCATCTAATAAACGTTATAACAGTACACACGATATGTAAAAACAGATGTAAAAATACCAGAAAAGAAGTGGAGGAAGAAGAGAAAGATGAAGCATAGGTGGGAAAGTGGCTTGTGGGTTGCCATAATGTGTATGCTTTATAAGGTTGTACTTATGAGCAAGTATGTCTAGCATCTAACCTTCTTTATATAGAGGAGTCTTTGCAAGTGCAAATGAAAATTACAAGCATGCAAAGCTTGTCCATTTGGTCTATTTCTTTGACTTTGTGGTCCTCTCCTCCATTATTTAAATGGGGAATATTTGTTAAAATAAATATTAAACAACTAATTTTTCGATTTCCATATCCGATTATCTATCACTAATTTATGTCATGGACTACCTTTGTTTTTTTTAAAATAAAGGGTACTCGTACAATGCAATAAGATACATCTT